TTTTACCAAAGCATTTTCACACTGTCAGCAACAAATGAAAACAAACTGCCGTCTTACACATTGAATCTTAATTTTATTACTCACCCTATGAGCCAAGTATTCATCAAAATGACAGCCAATACGATTGAAGGAAAAATCCAGTCATTCCCATGTGTCTGACACTCTTTGTAACCCGCACTGTTGCTTAAATAGTTGTTGTGTCATACGTAAGTCCTGTAAAAGAAAAGTCATCTGGAAGACATATCACATCAAACCTCGTAGTAGACGGAAACAAGTGAATTAAAATCATGGGACCCTTTATACAAATGATAATTATTTTAACGAAGACAATTCTTTATGGTTGCTTCAAAAAATATTTTAAGCAAATCACAAATAGTAAGAAAAATTGAAATTTTTAAAGTTTTAACTCTCAAAAAATTAGAAAAATATAATGGGACATTTTCTCAGCAAAGGGAAAGATTTTCGACTGCAGGATATTGTTCTTCTTTTATTGTGGGTATGACAACTTGAAAGATGGCTTAAGCAGACCAGCAAACCCGTTTATTTTTATTTATTGGCCATTTGTAGTAATACATAGTATTTTGTAGCCTGTCATAAAAAAGGGCAAGTACATCCTCTCCTTCAGCAGTTAACAGAGTGCGACCAAGAATGCAGTTGTTAAGGATGAAATAATTTTAAAATTTCAGATTTCCTCTATTGGCCAATCTCCTGATAAAAACTCTCCTAAAGTGTAAAATTTCTTTCTTTAAACCCACTTCTTCACTCCCTTTTTGAAACTTCCTAAATCCTCCTTTCAAAATCTTTGGTAACTTGTTAAAAATTGGAACTGATCCCTTGAGTGGCATTTTACTTTTCCCGTCTTCGCAGTGCATATCCTTTTTATTCCTTGTCTCGTAGTTTTGTAATAGGGCATTCCTCTTGTCTTTATGGTCCTTCTTTCCTAGGATGCTCATTCTATAAATGTACAGACTTGCTAGTGTCATCACACCCAATTTTTAAAAATGCCTCTTCAACATTTCTTTTTCTGACTTCAGAAGTACATTCTAACTGCTTGCTTTTGTTTCCTAAACACTTTTGCTATCCACTTTTTATTGCTTCCCTTATCTCCCCACATTTCAATCCCACATTGTAAGTGCACATTGACATTTGCATGATATAATTTTCCCATTGTTGCTCTACCCATGCATTATTCATCTGATGCATGATAAAAAGACCTCTATTAAGCTTCTTCAGTAGATACTCTACATGTTCACTCCATTTCAAATTTTTGGCAATACTGATTCCTAGAAATTTGGTGCTTGGTGTCCCAAAACCCTCTAAAATATGGACTCACCTGAATGCAACCCTTTCAATCCTCATGCCTTAAGCCCTTAAGTTCTTTCAAGTTTTAAATGAATCAGGACCTTTGAAAAATATGAAAACATAGCCTTTTGCTATAATTTCTGGCCAATTTAGACTGATCTTTCACGCCCAGTCCCAATATTTTCATGAATGTCTTAACGCCCAAATATAAAGTTCCGGTTATCACAATGGAATGTTCTTTTAGAATGGCTTTGCTATAAAATCAGGGTTGTCTTCAATACTTTTTATTTGGGGTCTCATATTATGAAAATCCAAATTTTCCCACTTTATACCCC